CTTATCTCTCGCACATTTCCCTTCCGTCCCGAGTAGTTCCGGAGACCCCGAGGATTACCATGGGCCAGTGCTGGACTTCGACGATCATTAAATTTCCCTGCCCTGAGTTTTCCTAGTTGGACACTTGTATTTTGCCTCTGCTAAACCAAGGTTCCGTGGAGGCAGCTCGACCGGCGAGGACAAAGAGGAAACGGGAGTAGTTTACTCACGTCTGTGGCAATAATTAGAATCTTCCAGAAGGTTCACCTGGGCGTCCAGCCATGCCAGGGCTGGCATGTGGCTCGCGTTCCACACCGGGTCCTTCTGTGTCTCTCGTGCGGCCGGGTCTGGAGTACTGCCGGCAAAGAGGCGCCCCGTGGGTGTCCATGCATTGAATACCACAACGAGTGGCCCCTCTGGCTGGAGATGCACACAGCCGGGGTGCGCGCAGGGCTCAGTGAGATGACGCGGCAGAGACGCGAGCCCAGGATTGCACACATGGGTAGCAGAATCAGGAGCCTACCCAAGAGTAGGTACCCCTGTCAGGGTCTCCCACAGCCCCTGTGATCCTTGGGTGGTACCTTCCACCTCTCTTCCTTGTTAATGGCTCATCTGGGGTCTGTCCCCCTGGTGGGTCCCCAGGGCCATTAGAGCAGAGACTGTGTCTTTTCTCACGACGACCTGGCTTGTACTCCATGACAGGCAAGACGCTTTCGAATACGAAGCCTCGTGTCTCATAGTTTACCCCCAAATCTTCCGCTGGTTATTAAGAAGCTAGGCTATATGGGGCGCCTGAGTGGCTCAGTCGGTTAAGCATCCAACTCTTAGCTCAGGTCATGATCTCACAACTCGTGAGTTCAAGCCCTACCTCTGGCTCTTTGCTGACAGCGCAGAGCCTACTTGGGATTCTTTTTCTTACTCTCGCTCTCTGCCCCTCCCCCGCTCATGCTCTCTGTCTCTCTCAAAAATGAACATTAAAAAAAAAAAAAAGTTAGGGGGGCTCAGTCAGTTGAGCATCCGACTTCGGCTCAGGTCATGATCTCGCAGTTCGTGAGTTCAAGCCCCGCATCAGGCCCTGTGCTGACAGCATAGAGCCTGGAGCCCGCTTGGGATTCTGTGTCTCCCTCTCTCTCTGCTCCTCCCCCGCTCATGCTCTGTCCTTCTCTCTCCTTTAAAAATAAATTTAAAAACATTAAAAAATTAAAAAAAAAAAAGTTAGAAGATGTACCCAAAGAGTAAAAGTATATTGATGCAGTGAGTAAGAACACCTCACTCCTTAAAAGCAAAGTTTCCCAAACTTGGCGGTAGAACGGAATTATCTGGGGATCCTGCAACACCCCCCCCAGTCCAGGTCATACCCCAGATCAATTAAATCCCAGTCCCTAAGAGCAAGTGGGACTCACCTGCTCATCAGTATTTGTCACAGCTTCCCAGGCACTTCCAACATGCAGACAAGTTTGGGAACACTCCCTTTAGCCCTCGGACCCTTTCGCGACCTCAGCTGATTAAAATCTAAGGGGCCACCTGGGTGGCTCAGCCACTTGAGCGTCTGACTCTTGATTCCAGCTCAGGTCATGATCCCAGGGTTGTGGGATCGAGCCCTGCATTGGGCTCTGTGCTGAGTGTGGAGCCTACTTGAGATTCTCTCTCTCTCTCTCTCTCTCTCTCTCTCTCTCTCTGCCCCTTCCCTGCTCACACCCTATCTCTAAAATAAAAGAAATAAATTTAAATTTTAAAAAGTTAAATAGAAACTGTGAATGAATGAACGAATGAATGAATTCATGAGCCTTCATACCTTCGGCAAAAGCTTGTGTGTCCCTTGTCAGGGTCTCAGTCAGCGGCTTTGCTGCCCAGTCTTATTTCATACTCTCTGTAAAATTAAAGAGGAGTTTTGAAATTCTCCTCTATGTGGTAGTTTTCACTTCTGTTTTTAAAGCTGGATATTGAACGTCCCCAAATAAGAGAGGCTAGAGCTCTCAACCGTTTTTTTCAAATAAAAATCCTTTCCCAACTCATTTGGAATGCCACCTCAGGTCGTCCAACACAGGTTTGTGGCACCCTTACGGCGTGCCAGGTGCTGCGGGAGGCTGGGGACCCATCCCTGCCCTCCCAGAGGGTACATCGTACGGGAAGACGGACGGGGAATACCTACGTGAAATATGTGATTTCTAAAGCATGTGCTCAGCGCCTTGAGAGAAAACAGTGGGGTTCTGGAAAGAAGAGGAGGGGCCTAATTTAGCTGAAGGGCGTGGGCAAAGTCCTCTCTCTGAAGAAAGGACAGTTCTGATCATGTATTTGTGTCTGTGTCTACCGACCCAGCATTCGCCTCCTGGGAGGCTCTAGGAAGACGGGGACCACGTCTGCCTTCCGCACCCCCTTCCTACCTCCTCCTTCAGGAACGGGCTTCTCCGACAGCCCCGCCCCTGGATGGTCAGCTTGTGGTGCCGGGTGAGCTGCCTCAGCTCCTGCTCCGGCTCCTTGGCGAGTGTCCTCTGCCCTCGCCCCCTCCTCCAGGTGCTTCCGGCTCTGCAGGAGGCTTTGCACGTCTTGCAAAGGTGACAAGCCAGCCCCGGCAGCGCCCGGCACCCGGACACCTTTGCTCACGGACAGGACTGAGCCTTCAGCTGCTCTCTGCAGCCCTCTGGCCCTCCAGAAGGGGAGACGGCTTATGGCCGTATTGGCCTATAGCCACGAAGCCAGAGTTGGCTTTGGCCATCTGGGAGGCACGAAGTCCCTTGACCTTCTTGATGAGTCTGACACACCTATCAACGCACACGACACTGATTTCAGACAGCCTTATTTCTTCAAAAGCTTTGTACTCCGTCGTCGTTTCCATAGGCACCAGTCGGCTGGCTCTTCCTCTGGCTGCCATATTGCTTCCATTTTGTAAGACACTCGTCGACATGTTGGCGACAGCAGCGGCTGCCCCCAGGCCCAGCCCCACCGCTGAGAGCATCAGACTCCCCCCTACCGTCACGGGTACCAGGGCCAAACCCAAGATGCTTAAGACGCCAGGGACGGCGTCTGAGGCGCCGGCCACCAGGCTGGTCTTGGCGGGCATCTTATGGGTCGCGTCCACTTGGCAATAGCGTGCAGCTCTCTGATGCTCTTTTCCAGCTTCTACTTCTGCAAGGGGAAACAGAAGAGCAACGCTTTTTCCTCCTCGGATAGGTTTCCTGGCACGGATGCTTCCTTATACCACGTCAGCTCTTCCGTCAGGATGTACAGTTCGTATCACTTGGTTCGTTTTCCAGCTCTAGAGCAGGCTCAGCAGTAAGCTACAAACTTCTGCTAATCGGAGTTCTCTAACACATTCAGGGAGCAGGGCCCTGAGAATCAAGGTATAAGCGGGGAGCGCCGTGACCGGGGACCCCGGGGACCCCGGGGACCGTGTGTTTATAGCAGGAGACACGGTTCAAGCGATCGTGCTGTGCCTACAGAACGGCTTCCCAGTCCATTCACCCGTGGACAGCTCGCTTTCTTCTGCCCATAATGGAGACTAATGTGATGAATAAAATGTACCCTGAAAGCATTGACTGACTTCTGTAATCTTTTCTTAATGAATATATACATACATATTCATATATATATATGAATATGTATGTATATGTAATGTATATATGCATACATATAAAACTTAAACACTAATAAGAGATTGCAAACAATTCTATCCAGGAAAATAGGAGTCCTAACAGCCTATATATAGAGGAGGTGGTTTGATTTTCTTTTTTGATGTTAAAAGGGGATCTACCGGGAAAGTGTGGTTGCTTCTGGGCAAAAGAGCCGGGCAGCTGGGAAAAGGTTTGAGGGAGATTTACTTTTAACCTTTGCCCTTCTGTTCCTTTTGAGTTTTGTATCGTGTGCGGGTAATCGAATTATTTCAGGAAGTTAATCGAATAGCCTGTACTTCCAAAGAAAAAGGAGAGAGAACCTTCAGTGAGACCCTGATTATAATGTAATATCTTCCATAGAGGAGGGCCAATGGCGTACTATCCGTCTTGCCAGCGTTGTGTTATTTGGGGAACGTGGTCGCACCCAGACACAGAAGCTTCTGCTCTGTTCGCTCGCGAACAGGCAAGGAGGCGAAGCATGTAATCCTAAGAAAAAGTGGTGGAGAAGAAAGAAAATGTCCCGCTGAGAAAATTCTCTCCATTAACTCAAATGTTCCCTATGCTTTGGAGACGAGACTGCCGTCATTCAATTTTCCCGTGGAATCCCTTTGGTCCAGCTCCTGGAACACCAGAGTTTGGCAGGGTCTTTGAGAAAATCACCGTTCTAAGTGAAATTATCTGATAGGATCGGGAGCTTCCCAAGGGGACCCTGCTGGACGGCACAGGATGCTGTAATTGGCTTCTTGTGGTACGTAACAGAATCTGACTCGGATGCCCCCTAGGTTTGTTCCTGTCTGTCTACAACAGATTGGGCACGGGTTTAAGGAATACCGTAAGCCATACTGGAGAGGAGGTGTTTGGGAAAGAAGGCAGGGCTCATGGAAAAACTATACTGAGGCCAAGCAGCCCCAAGGCCTCCATAAAGAGCCCCTTGACAATCTCTTTGCTCCTTGGGCAAAGCCTCAGGTAGACCAGCCAAGTGACCCTCGCCCAGGGAAGCGGGAGGGGCCTTTGGACATCCTTCCCCGTCACGACATCACTCTCGAAAAAAAGGCTTGCTCACAGGTGCCTGGGTGACTCAGTCAGTTAAGCGTCTGACTTTGGCTCAGGTCATGATCTCACGGTTGGTGAGATCGGGCCCCGCATCGGGCTCTGCGCTGTCAGCACCGTGCTTGCTTTGGATCGTCTGTCTCCCCCTCTCGCTGCCCCTCCCCCACCGGTTCTCACTTTCAAAATAAATACACTTAAAAACACGAAGAAGCGAATCTTGAGGACAGATCACAAAAAAAAAAATAAATAAAAATAAAAATAAATTAAAAAAAAAAAAACGGCTTGCTCGGAGTTTTCTTTGGGATGTCTCTGTACGCCTAGGAGTCCAGCCCCCCTCTAGCCTGTCTCAGATCTATAGGGTGTTGGTGGAAGGCTCCCCAGATCATCCGTCCATAGAGGGCAAAGGCGTCCACGCCCCTGCCGTTACTGGAAGGACGTCCAGACCACGTTCACACTATTTCGGCACACGTGTAGGCTACATCGGCCTGTGATGTCCTCTGCAGGCCTGACGCGGAAGGAAAGCGGCCACCTGCCTCGTTTGCTCCCTCAGTCACAGAGGAGAACGCTGGCCCAAGGGCGAGGTGACCTTCCCTACATGACAACCCAGTTTGTGATGGAATTAGGGTAAGAACCCGGGACTCCAGTTTTCCAGAAGCTTCTGGCCGGCCCCACCTGCCGGTCGAGACTACTATTCCCCTAAGAAAGAGAAAACCATCTCTCTGTCCGGGCACCGTGCAAGTGACCTAATTAACTTTGGTCCGAGCGGGGGTTCTCAGCCAGCAGCCCATGGGAAGGACTCTGTTCTGAGCCGCTTCAGGATTAACCGGCGCCGTGAGGTGGGGTCAAAAGAGCAGAAGACGGACGGACAGGTGGAGGGAGGCTGGGCCAAGTTTTGTGAGGATGTGTAAATCCTTCCCCCCAGCCCCCGTTTCTGCACATTTCCGGTTGCAAAGGGAGGTAAACACTTCAGCCCACTTAGTTGGAACCCATTTGTGCGTTTCCTACTGTGAGGCTGATGAGAGCCTAGCGACGGAATTTGGATATTAACAATCAGATTTCCTGCCCTCGTGCAAATGTCCTGAGTGTCAGGTCTGTGCCCGACGCTGTTCTAGAGGCTGGGATTATGGCGCTGAGTACGGCAGCCCAAACCCCTGCCCTCCCAGAATGCACATTCTGGGGATTCCCTGCCCGCCCCCCGCCCCCACCCCCGACACATCCCTGTTCTAGGATTACCTGTCCAAACCACTCCTCTCCCCCAGCCTTCCCAGGCCTCTGCGTGAAAGAGTACACATCGTGTGCTCATCTTGTCCCGGAGATATTTACTGATGTGCCCGCACAAGGGACTATCTAGTTATAATTGGGGGGATAAGAAAAACAAAGTTAGAAGACATCAAAAATCTTAACGTCTATGGGGCGCCTGGATGGCTCAGTCGGTTAAGCATCCGACTCTTGATTTCAGCTCAGGTCATGATTTCCTAGTTTGTGGGATTTGTGGGATCGAGCCCTGCGTCAGGCTCAGTGTGGAGGGTGGAGCTTGCTTGGGGCTCTCTGTCTCTCCTTCTCTCTCTGCCCCTCCCCCACTGATTCTCTCTCTCTCTCTCTCTCCCTCTCTCTCTCTCTCTCTCTCTCTCTCTCCTTGTCTCTCAAAATAAATAAACTTTTAAAAATCTTAACATCTCAAAAATTTCATAGCTTTTTGGCCTAAGGATTTTGACCAATTAAACTCTGATAATACCTACTGCTAGCTAGAAGGTGGTAAAACAGGCGATTTCTCAGGTTTCTGGTGGCAAAGCAGATTGGCCAAAGACTTAGGAAATCGTGATCTTAACAGATGAAGTCACCAAGCCTTCTGATAATCATCTAATAAGCCAACGACAGGCACAAGATGGTCAAGGTCATGTTATTTATGTCACTGTAAATTTGAAGGCAAGGGAGAGACCATTCTGTCCAACCCTCTACCATCTACAGTCCCGGCAGGATTGTCCAGTCTCTGCCGAAGCCTCCGCAGAGATGAGTCCATTGGCTGGCTGGTTGTTTCAACCAGGCAGGTGAGGGTGACAGGCGTCACTCCAAAAGATGCCGCTTTGGGATACTGATTGATTGGAGCTGAAGGCACTTGAAATACAAAGGCAGGAAGAGGCGTTCTCTGAACTCCCCTCATCTGCCTAAAGACATATCCCGCGAGAGGTGCTCTGATGTCTTAGATGCCCCCTGGGGGTGTCCACAGCCTCTTGTCACAGGAGACTGGAGGTCGACACCACACCCAGACCCACTTTGTCACAAGCTATCATACCTCCTGCCTGTTCTTCTAAGGGCCCATTCGTCTTTCTTGGAAAGCATTTATTCCCCCCTAAGAGGCCTACCCCCCCTCCCTTTTTCCTATTAAATTGGTATTTAAGGGGGGTCTGGGTGGCTCAGTAGGTTAAGTGTCTGACTTGTGGTTTCAGCTCAGGTCATGATCTCACGGTTTTGTGAGTTCAAGCCCCGTTTCAGGCTCTGTGCTGACAGCATGGAGACTGCTTGGGATTCTGCGTCTCCCTCTCTCTCTGCCCCTTCCCTGCTCACGCTCTTTCTCTCTCTCTCTCAAAAATAAATAAATAGGGGTGTCTGGGTGGCTCTGTCGCTTAAGCGTCCGACTTCAGCTCAGGTCATGATCTCGCAGTTCGTGGGTTCGAGCCCCACGTCGGGCTCTGTGCTGACAGCTCGGAGCCTGGAGCCTGCTTCGGATTCCGTGTCTCCCTCTCTCTCTGCCCCTCTGCCGCTTGTGCTCTGTCTCTCTCTCTCTCTCTCAAAAATAAACATTAAAAAAATTAAAAATAGATAAAAATTTTTAAAAATTGGCATGTAAGACTGAATTCTCAGCCACCTTGGCCCCCTCAGCCACTCCCCACGTGTACGTGAGGCCACGCACGTTCATTTTTCTCTCGTCAGTCTTTTATGACAGGGCCTCAGGCTAAGAATGCAGAAGGGTAGAGGGACAATGAGCGTCCCCCCTGCACGGGCAGCGCGGCACACTGGCCCCCGTTTAAAGACGCTTCCGTCGCGGCTTTTTCTCTTGCTCAAAAACCGCTTGAAATGCGGTCTCCGTGTACTTGGACACAAACCACCCCCACGGCTGCAACATAACCATCGACTTGGCTCACCCACTTCCGGTTGGCTTCAAGGGCATGTCCTTTTCCACGGGCTTTGGATAACGTATCGCCGCCGTGTGTGCTGGCTTCAAACCGTAATATTACGCGACAAGCCTTTTCCATAGCGCTCCTCCGCGCTGCGTGGCAAGAGGGGGCCGCACCTCGTGGCCCACCGGGGCTGCCGTGGTCTCGTCACCCCTATGAGTCCGCCTGTGTGTAATGGCACCAAGCCCATCCTGTTTGCAGCGGCGGCTCTGGCCGGCGGCCGGGGCCGGTGACGGGCTCCCGTGTCCCCCTCTGCTTCCTGGCTTCCTGCGGTTCCGGGTGTGAGGGCGCACACGCAGGGGCCGGGAGCTCCTCGTGATTCTCGTTACACTTCATGAAGGCAGTTACCTGCTGTCGTAGTATGTGCAGATA